AACACTAAGAATGGGTGTGCTGAAAAATGTGTTGAGGTGTACTTGTATGAAGTGAATAAGTGAACTTCGTGTTTTTCGTACTCCGAATGTTGGCAAACCTTGCCATTGGACCGTACCAAAACAGCTGCTGGCTGCTGAGATAGACAGTGCCGCAAATGAGGTTCACATTTACTCTACATGTGCATGTGCAGATTGTGGTTCTTCTATGTGGGTTGCGAAGCAAAGCTATTCTTGTATCATCTTTGTTAAGACCACGTTTTTTGCATCCCATCTCTGTTTGCCTTTGCACGATTGGCTGCGGTTCGCCTGCGGCTTACCTGCCAATGGCTTACTTGCTCAATGGACGTTGTTACTGAAAAGCTTTTGTTTTCGTTTGTTTTTTGTCAAGGAAATAATCAATTAGAGCTGGGTGCGCCGTTAAGCCCCTATGACAAATACACGATGCATACTTAAAATATTTCGATAATAACATGGTATGTGGGACATTCCGATCCAGCGCGACCCCGTTCTTTTGGAGTTCTCATCACATGAGATAAGCTAGTTGGTCAACGGGATTCGCGGTTACCAGCAGCACGGAACCCCCGCCGCCAAAATTGCAGCGAATTCGTTGGGCCGTTGGTGCTGACTGACCAGCTGCTGCAACACGCAGCTTTGGAGTCTGGATGGCTGCAGCTTTGTGTCTCTGAGAGGGGCTCTGAATCAGCTTTTGCAGTTGGGCTTGTCCTCTATGGGAGAAAAGCAATTCCTGGAATTGGGTTTTTGAAAGAAATATGGAATGCAACAGAAAAAAATTATAACTTTTAAATTTCACAGAGGCTACATTTACTATCTGACGCAATACAAAGTGGTATCATTTAGGTCACACCGAGACGAGTGTAAAATCCGAGAACGAGACAGTAGAGAATACTTTGGGATTAAAAGTCCAGCACAACATCATTTTTTCTCAACTTACGCGATCCCATCTCCTCAATGTCAGTGTCAGAGTCAGTGTCAGTCAGTGTTTGGCCCTCGACACTGTGGGACCCAACTCACCAAAAGATGGCCGAAAGTGCCAAAGCCCTTTGCACAGGCGCAGGCAAGGGGAGGCATGCTGGCCCGCGCTCCCTCCCTAGGTCGGCTTTTTGGTGCTACACATGACTCTTGGCAGAAAGATAAAATCAGCGTGATGAATTCTGACTTCAGGAAGCATCCGGTGTTTTACCTCCCATTGAGTTTTGGGGTGTTCCGATCCAATCGGCGTCACACGTAGAGAAAAGTTCTGTTTATGATTTGTCACAGTTTGTTCATCACTTTATCATGTGAACTTGCGTATGATGTGCTTTGGGTGACTCATGTACACATTTCGATATCACTTACAGTGGTGATTGGTTCTGAACATTCGCTATAGGGGATTTTTGTGATAACATCCAAATTTGACATTTATAGCATCCAAATTTGACATTTATCTATTAAATCCGTACTTTTTGAGCCTGTGGGCTCGAAAGCTGCAGTTCCACCAAGGAAGCTGCCGACGACGTGGGAGATTTAGCTTCGTGTCGTGATTAACAGCACTTTACAAATGATAGGCGTGCGAACACGATGCACGCTGTCACGGACAGCAGGGACGGGCACGGAACGTTACGCAGGCCGACGGGTGGCCTCCGCCTGCGCCGGCGCCGTCAGCGTGCTGCAGTGGGTTGCCGGGGTGTGCTGGCCGCCGGCGCCCTGACAGCGTGCCCTGACACCGCCTCCTCCCAGCGCGCGCCCTGACCCAGATGCCGGAGCCAGCTGTCAGCTGCAGGCCGAGCCGCCTCGCGTGCTCATCTCCACGCTCAATTACTATTGTCGGTGTGTCGGCCGCGTAACCGGCATACTTGCGAAACAAAGGCATTTGGCAAGAAGTTCAAACGCGTGGGAATTCCTCTGCGCTGCCAGGCGTCTCCCAACAAGTATTTGTGGTGTGGAATTGGCTTTGAGGCGATTCTTGCGTATCTTACTCTCTTTACAGATGATCAGGTGATAGCCCATGCGATCCTCCAACTTCAAACAGAGCTCAAAGGAGCATTTGTGTTTCCCATAGGTGCGCGGCTGTTGGCTCTGGTTGTGGGCTATATTTATCATTTTGAAACATATGATTTGCAATCAGTGGTGGTTGCGTTAGTGATGTCGACCTCTCCATGGGGTATACTGTGTTCATTGCGAAGCATTGTGTTGATGGGATGGTACCAGGGCAAAGGAAGCACACAACCACCTCGGGTCGAATGACTCTCCATCCCGCTACAATCGACGGCATGTCAAGCAGCTTACACCTGTGCTGTGCCGGCTGCTCGGATCAGCCCGTTACGTAACACGCGCGGTCTGCTCCCGTGTAACGACACACCGCCCGCACACTGGACAGCCTTCCCTCCAGACTAACGGCACGCTACCCCGCTGCCATTGAACGGCATCCAACGCTGACTAGATAGCCTCTTCCCGGTGTATCTGTTACACTATGTTTCCAATTGTGTGCGTGGCGGTGACACCGGCGAGACCCTTGACGCCTCTCAGCGGGCAGCAGTAGGCTCCGCTCGGTGCCGTGTATCCGGGAGTGTTCGTGACGGTGACGCTGACCGGACCCCTGACGCCTCTAAGCGGCCATCGGTGCCGGTCTCACCGGACAGGCTCCGCTCGGTGCGGCGTATCCAGGGGTGTTCGTGGTGGTGACGCCTGTCGGACCCCTGACGCCTCTCAGCGGGCATCGGTGCCGGTCTCATCGGACAGGCTCCGCTCGGTGCGGTGTATCCAGGGGTGTTCGTGACGGTGACGCTGTCATACCGGACAGGCTCCGCTCGGCCTGATGACTCGCCACTTGCCCCGAAAAAAATGCAATCTCATCTTATACCTCGCACCTAGCACCTCACATCTCACATCTCACATCTCACACCTCACACCGGATGGACGGCCACGTCCCCATCGGGCACATTCCGCGGGAATCGGATCACACCCAGTGACGTAGGCAAGACCTGACACAGGAGGGGTTGAGATGAGAACACGGGGACCGCTGGAACCATAAGGCCCCTTTTCGTCGCTATAGGGACTCCGTTTTTGAACTGTGAGTACTTTCAGCCTCGG